TACTCTTTAAGCTTTTAAGACCACAAGTTTCAAAAGTCTTTTTTTTAAACTCCGTGCCGAGTCAAACTACCTCATCTAAATTGAAACGGGGGGAGTAGCTAAGAAGAACACATGATGCAACTATCCTATCTCAAATTATTTGGGTTCTGATCATACTAGCTCAAGTTATCAGTGCTACTTAGCTAAGTTCTCTCAGCTGACTAAGACACAAACATTCAGAGAAGCTGTGAAAGCCAATAGGTGGATAGAATTCATGAAGCAATAAGTGAAGGCATTAGAAGGAAACAACACATGGGAGATAGGGGATCTGCCAGAAGGAAAGAACATTGTTGGTTCAAAATGGGTGTACAAGATTAAGTTGAAAGCAGATGAAGAAGTAGAGAGATTTAAGGTTAGATTGGTTGCAAAAGGGCATAGCCAAAGGGAAGGACTAGAGGAACATAATACCTTCTCACTAGTGGCAAAAATGGTCACTATGGGGTCTCATATTTCATTGGCTGCCTCAAGAGGTTGGGGCTTGTTTCAAATGGACATTTATAATGCATTCTTACAAAGAGATTTATATGAAAAAGTATATATGGAGTTACCTGAAGGGTTCAGAAGACAAGGAGAGGATAAATTGTTCAAGCTTTTGAAATCCCTATATGGGCTTAAGCAGGCTTCACGACATTGGAATATCAAGTTAACTGAAGCTCTACTAAAAACAAGTTTTGTACAAAGCCATCATGATTATTCACTGTTCACACTAAGGAGCCACGAAGGGATAGTGGTCATTTCTTGTATAAATGGATGATCTCCTTATCACAGGTACCGGTCCAGTCCTGATCAAGAAGGCTAAAGACATACTACATCAGAGTTTCAAGGTGAAAGATCTAGGAGAGCTTAAATACTTCCTAGGAATTGAGGTCCTAAGATCTAAAAGTGGAGTGTTGCTGAATCAAAGAAAACATGTGCTAGAATTAATATCAGATATGGGATTGAGTGGAGATAAACCTGCATGTACACCACTGGAAGTGACTTCAAAATTAGCCTCAATAGAATATGACCAAGCAAATGGAATTACAGGAGATGTGCCTCTACAGAACATCAATGCATATGACAGAGTAATTCGGAAGCTTTTGTATGTTACTATAACAAGTCCTGACATCAACTATGCAGTGCATGTATTAAGTCAGTTCATGCAAGCACCAAAAAGGTCTCACTGGGATGTTGCCTTAACAGTTGTGAAGTAATTGAAGAATGCTCCAGGACTGGGAGTTTTAATGAAATCTGATTATGCATAAAAATTCACATGCTGGTGTGACTCTGACTAGACTGCATGCCTCAATAGAATATGACCTAGCAAATGGAATTACAGGAGATGTGCCTCTACAGAACATCAATGCATATCAGAGAGTAATTCGGAAGCTTTTATATGTTACTATAACAAGGCCTGACATCAACTATGCAGTGCATGTATTAAGTCAGTTCATGCAAGCACCAAAAAGGTCTCACTGGGATGTTGCCTTAACAGTTGTGAAGTAATTGAAGAATGCTCCAGGATTGGGAGTTTTAATGAAATCTGATTATGCAGAAAAACTCGCATGCTGGTGTGACTCTGACTAGACTACATGCCTTAACACTAGAAGATCTGTTATTGGTTATTCATAAGTTTTGGAGATTCAATGATTTCTTGGAAGTCAAAGAAGCAACAGATTGTTTCAAGGAGCACAGCAGAGGCAGACTACAGAAGTATGACTGCAAGTATTGCTGAAGTAACATGGTTACTTGGTCTATTCAAGGAGCTAGGTGTAGACATAACACAACCAGTCACAGTTTTCAATGCTGACAAGTCAGCCATTCAACTTGAGAAAATCATGTGCTTCACGAAAGAACTAAGCATATAGAGATCGATTGTCATTTCATTCGAGACAAAATAATGAAAGGAATAGTTAAAGGCAGTGCATGTTAGTACTAAGGAGCAGCGGGCAGACTTATTAACCAAAGCATTAGAGACTACTCAAAATGTTCATTTACTTGGCAAACTTGAAGCGTTCAATGTTTTGCACCTTCCAGCTTGAGGGGCATATAATGATATGTCATGTGTTGTACATGTGACTTAATTATTTAGTTAGTTAGAGGGTGGTTAAAGTTGTTAATTGTAAGTTAAGGTAGATTAGTCATTAGCTTCTTTCTTCTTCATTACACTCTTGTATATATCGACTGTTACAAAGGAATAGAACTGTAGATTTGCTCCTTTTCAATCACATCTTGCCTCTCTAGAATAGTCCACCATATTTTAGCATACTTAACTAAAGAATTAATTACATTTTTGGTAGTACTTAATTTATGGATAACATGTGGTTGTTTTTCCTTTTTGTCTGAGTATAGTAGTAACAACAACACTACCAAGTGCTTTGGCCCGGTTTAGAAAACTTCCTGTTTTCCTTACGCATTCGTTATTTGCAATATAATATCGGACTAATTTAAATTCGAGTCAAATAGCAAAAGGAAAATATAGTGTTTCATTCATTTTTAACTGGATTGTAAGAATGGAGAGATTCCAAGGTACATTCCTCGGTGTCCAAAGAATGCATCACCATAAAAACTACTCCTCGTTGTGCCTGCTGGCACGTACAAGCCAAGTCCGGTGGTTACACTTTTGTCATGTCAGCCATGAGGTTTCCAGCATAGAAATTAATAAACGAGTGATGTGATTTTTATAAGTCAGTTTTGAAGATTTATGTTTCATTTTTGAAGATTTATGTTTGATACCGAGCTCATGACAGAATATTCTAGGTGTGATAGCATAACACATAGTACCAAATGCCACTGTCCTACATGTGTTATTGTACATATGATCTGCGCGCTTCAACATGTGGCATGGGACCTTTCTTTCACGCCAACTATGGAAGAAAGTTAACCCTATTCAGTACTACTTTTTTGTTTGTCTATACTAATTTCAAACGGGCTCGTAAATGCAACGCAGGGAGTTGGCGCAGCTAAAGCAGCAACCTAGAAATAAGACGACACCTATAGCCAGGGGAAAAATTTTTTGCCCAAATGTGAACTCATGATCTCTCCGTCAAACTAGGTATTTTGCGTACGTATTTTTTCGAATTTGTCTAATTTTATCTATTGGCATCCATGATCCAAAAAGACTGAATGGTGTACTTGGTTGAATATTGGGTTATTTACCTTTAGAGGAATAGAGATTAATTTCCATTATACTTTTTTCTACTTCGGTGCACCCATGTTGAAGAAATCCTAATCCGCCTCCGCCTATAGTATAAAACTTTTTATAATCATATATAGGTTAAATCCAAAAACAAAAAAGTGGTTAGGATTAGATATTTACTATCGAGATAAAATACAGTAAAAACTTATCTGCACTAAGTTACAACTCAAATTCACTCCATCTCATGCTTCATGTGATTTCGAAAAGTGTAGCTAACTGATATTTCAAAAAGAAAACTGAAGTTTTGTAAATTAAGAAACTGCATAGAAAGCATTGCTCAAACATTGATCACACACAACAAATTAAAAGCTAAAACGACATGAAGTGCATTACTAGCACTTTAGTTAGGTAAGCAATTTAGAATATCACTACTTTAGGATTAAATTGGACGACATTGAGATTGAAGGAGTAGTAAACACATTCTTTTGGTCCATTAAATATTACTACTACTTAATAGTTTATGTAATTTGTGACATATAGGTCGGTTCAAGCTGTAGAAACAACCGTTAATGCTAGCTTGCATTAGGTTAGGTTGTCTGCATAGAAGCGTACCCAGGATTTGAAAGTGACGGGGCACCACTATCGAATAAAATTTTTGGAGAAGGAATCGAACCAAGGCAGCGCAATGCAACTGCCTAAGTTTTGAGTCTTAGAGTGCCAATTAAATATATATTTATTATTTAAGATATATTTATAGAGTTTTTTTTTTTTTTTTTTTGAAATTATCGGAGGCCGGTTTCCCCTCTACTGTAAAAGTAGGTCTGCCTCTGTGTCTACGTGACACCCCTTGGGGTATGGCTCTTCTCCCGACGGGCTGCCCTTCCGTGCAACTTTTGATGACACTAATTAATTTAGTCACTTTGAGTTTCTCCCCCAAGCTGTTCACTGTCATTTCTACTCAGGTTTCTCACAAGTTTCCAAGCTGGTCTTCTTTCGATCTTTAAGTCTGAAACTCTCAAAAGAGCTTGCTGAAAAATCAACTTTCGAGGGTGCTTTGCAAGATTTCGCTGAGAGGGTTCATGGAAGTAACGCATTGTCCAGTGCATTTAATAACATGAAAATAGTTTTGTAATACTTTAGCAACGAGTATAATTTATGTTCCGACCATGTGGTGAAATAAACTCGCAAGTAAAAGGGAGAGAATTATATTAGTGCCGTCTGGATTTTGATCATCTACTTTTAGATATATCTTCTTTATTTTTCAAAAAGAAAGAAAAACAGAAGAAGCAAAACGAAAAATGAGACGTTATTTTCGTAGTCCATTCAATCTATCTCAAGAATATATACTATACTTTGACTCGTGAAAATGTGAAATCACCCTATATCTGTTGATAGTTAAGTTCCAGCATTATATTCCACGAGGTGCAGTAATCTACCTATATATATAGTCAAGCATGCAATCACGGACAACATTTGTACACATAAATCATTTAAGTTATTATTAGTTTAAGCATTATATACCAACAGTTAAAAGAATTTTTTTAAGTATCAAGTCAGCCAAAAAGAATATGTACTTGTAAGTCTCTTTAAAAATTAAAATATGAGATTTGTAATTTTAAAATAATAAATTAGAACTTACTACAAGAGGTAAAGGTGATCTCACGGTTAACTTAAACGCTTAAGTTATACACTTTGGAACAATTGTTTAGTTTATCAGTGTAATTTAGTTTATTAATTAAAGCAGGTTAATATTTATAATTATTATCAAATTATAGTAATTACTAGTGTTTGTTAAATAGGTTCATTTATAGTTCGAAAATATAAACTATTTCAAGGCAACATGCACGAAACTTAAAATATGTACATAACTGGGCATTCCACAGTAAAAATATGCTACACAAATCCAAAAGACAGTCATGTTCTATGCTGCAGAGTGCTCTCAAATTTCGGACGTCTATCCTAGTTACAAACTGATGAAAAGCAGTGCCATTTCGCATCAAATCAGAAGCAGCTAAGACAAAAGCCAAGCGACAAGGGCACTATGGTTTTGGTTTTCACTGTGCAGCACGGAATCCATTTCCACCGTTATTTCATTCGTGCAATTTTGAAGTAACTCAGTGTCAGTATTATCCCACAGCGGCCAACTGTGATTAATGTCTTGCCCTGTTTCTTCCCATGACCATACTTCTCTACTGTCTTCAGCTATCTCTTGCCAATCCCATTCAACTGTACTATCTTCCATAAATAATTTCGTTTCGTTGCTATTCTCTTGTACATCTTTCAGACTATTTAATGATACAGCTTTACTCGCTGGACTACTCTCCAGTTGTGTATCTTCACTTGATACCATTTTATTATCGTGATCTTTGTCGTTATGTTCATTGATTCTGTTCGTGGTCCCGCAGTTACTTTCTGCCTCGTTGGTTACTTTTTCTGGGCATTCTCCTTGCCCGTTGTCTAAACAAGTCAAAATGAATTCATTTGGGTCCATATCTTGATCGTCCATGACCATTGGCATAATTTCGTCAAGCCATTCCATCCCATTATCTGTTAAAGACAAAATATAACTTAACATGATACCAGACAAGAGCTCTTAGATATTTTTACGTGTTTGACTCATGAGAAAAGCTTAAATTCACGTGTTACAAAATAAGTAATTAAAAGTAATATTTTATCGAATAGTTTAAGTACTAACCTGAACTAAGGTTGCTCTGGACCACTCTAGACCCTGACCAAGGATTTGGCGCAGCTACGTTTGCTACCTCTTCTTGCATGGAATCCATGGCATTTCCGTCTAGCCATGAGCTAATAGAGCTAGATAAGGCCTCTTTTTCCATGTTTGGAGTTGAGGGCATAGGAACTATTGAACTAAAAGGTTCACTACTTTCTTTAGGCTTCTTAGGCTCTGACAAACTTGAAGCAGACTTTTTTAAAGTTCTGTTTTTCTTTATTGTGGGTCGGCTTGTTGTGCCAACTCTACATTTGATAGGGTTCAAAGTTCCTTTATTAGCCAAATCAACTACAGCTTGAGGCAGCTTTTCGTCGCTTGGAATCCTTAAGCTTTCAACTTTTCTGCTTAGATGAGAGTTCCAGTAGTTTTTAATCTCATTGTCTGTTCTACCTGGTAAATGTCCCGCTATTAGAGACCATCTGCAATTATAGTAATAATAGAATTAGCTGACACTAGAAAATATTAGAAAGATAGCATGTTCATCATCATATATAATGTCTCGACTAACAAACGTAGCTTTTTCTTCTTTTTCTTACTATCTTTCTTCTTTATAGGAGTACCATTTTTCTAAATTAAATTGTCACTGCTAATTTTAGTCACACCGACTCAGACCAAAGCTGCTATAGAACTAATAATAGAAAAGGTTGAAGAAAGGGTCGAAAGCATGTGTCACTCGTCATGTGAAAACACAAGGATTATTGAACTGGCGGGGACCAATTTATTTAACTTATTCGTCAGCACAAAAGGATGTACAAAAAAATGCCATATAAGTGTCCGGAACTCTCATGCCCTTCTTTTTTTCGTTTTTTTCAAGCAAAAGAGTATAAAATGGAGCAACATAAAATGAAAGAAAAAAAGTACTCTGATCTCCCTTTCTGTTTTATGGACAAATTTCAGAAAAAAAGAAAAATGATTGAAACTCGTTATAAACATGCCGTATCATCTAAGTTTAAAATTAAATAGTTGAAGCTCTTATTCTTTTGTTGTATAGACTAAAATGAAAATAAAGTCATGTAAAATGAAATAGAAGTAGCATTGATTTTTTCATTTACCAGTGTGTAGTTGCTATCATTAAGTCGTTTACGTTGGGGAAATACCTGTTACCCAAAGTTGCATGCAACTTGATGATTATGTCTTCCTCTTCAGAAGTTATGTTACCTCTCCTCAAATCAGACCTCAAGTAATTAATCCATCTCAGTCGGCAACTCTTTCCACATCTAAGTAAGCCTTCAAAACACAACAAAACAAATTATAAACTTAAAATAAAGAAAATTTAAGTGCAGGATGTAAGGTTCATTAGAAGAAAATGGTATTGAAAAAGCTAAGGTCGTACGTACCAGCATTTTTGGGTAATGATCTCCAAGAGCCTTCGCCGTTAGTTTGAATATATTTAGTGAGAATTTCATCTTCTTCTGCAGTCCATCTGCCTCTTTTGAGACCCACTTTCTCACAACAAGGTGCTCTTCCCATTGGTAGTATGACAGGAGAAAACCACTCTCTGGTTATTGGCAAAGTGGCAAGTGGAAACAAGACAATTTGCCCCAAAATCAATGCCAATAAATAGAGAGACGGCAGAAATAACTGAGCCCCACACCTAAGACCTACTCTCTCTTCCCCGGCTTACTCTTTACTTTTGCCCTTATTCTAGTATTGTGTGGACTTTTACGTTGCAAAGGTTGACTTATTAGAGCTTTCATGCATGTCACTCTTCGCTAAAAGGGATGCAACGTAAGCTAAGATCAGATTTTGAAAAAAAAAAAATTGAAATTTCCAAAAACTTGTTTCGGGCAATTTTTGGGAAATTTTTTTGTTTTCCGGTCAAAAAAATTTTAACTTTTTTCAAATAAAATGCATGTTCGAACACAATTTTAATTTCCAAAAATTATTTTTCTATACAATTTCATTATTTTTTTTTTCAAGTTTCAACCAAATCTATTTTCAAACACTAGCTTAATCATAATACAACTTACTCAATATGCTTCAACTTCCCCTCTTTTTCTTGTTTTACCTTTTGAAAAGAAAAAAAGTGAAGCTAATATTTTTTTTGGCTTATTAACCTAAATGCTTTCTAATTAACAAAACTCTCGGTCTCCAAATAGAAATGTGGTATATTTGGATTTTGGTTGTATTATAACCATCAGTGTACACCACTCGATTCTTTATGATTCAATAGTTTGATGTATCATTTCGAATTCAATTTATAGGTTCAAATTAATAAATTAATCATATCTTAATCTTTTAAACTTTGACGGTTTGAGCAGGATACAATGGATTGATTTTGCCACGCTCCTAAATAAAGAAACTCTTAATAAAATACATATGCGCAGAGGCGGAGCTAGAGTGCGGTCAGCGGGTTCGACCGAACCCAGTAACTTTAGTTCGAACCTTGTATTTGTCTTAAAAATTTCATTGAATATGTATAAATTATTAAGTTAGAACCCAGTAACTTAAAACGATTAGAATCCCGAACCCATAAGCTTGAAATCCTGGCTCCACCTCTGCATATGCGTTATTATATAGTACTAATTTAACCTGTTATAAAATGGTAAGCAATCTAACTATATGAATATTTAGCAGTACCTAAAGTTAAACACCATTTTAATAATATCGGATGTCCAAAAAAAGTGTCAGTGACAGTGTGGAGAGTCTGACGGGGACGGAGAAAGGTAAAATTTGTACAATTACTTCATATGAAAGACGTTGAAAGAGACAGAGAGAATAGGAAGTCGTGTGTGGTGTTAAACGAAGACACGTACTGAATAGCCTGAAAGCTGAGTCGTGGCTCATCTATCGTCGAGAGCCTTGTGACGGGGCTTCCATCTCCCACGTTGATTGTCCCTCTTACACCATTTCTTAGCCTTTTTTCTTTGTGTTGTCATTTGAAAATATATTGATGTGATTATATTACTAATAGCCCCCTATGCCATCAACGCTTTTATTGGTTTCCATCTACCTCTGCCCACATCCAACAACCCTTTTTTCGCTTTACAATTAATTCTTTCGCTTAAAACCTTCTTTTTTTTTGTTTCTTTCCTCTTGTTTCAGTAGCCCTTTCGTTTGCCTTTTTGCCGTCCCTGCCCTCCTGATCAATGACAGGAGCCAAATTTGAAGATATACAATTTTTTCCGAAACTTTTTCAATTTTTTCGGAATTAGTGTATGGCAATCCACTTATAAAAAGATAGTACAAAATATCGAAAAACCAACCCTCGAAGAAGCAAACACTGAAATTCTCCCCCTAAATAAGGCTCTGAAATCATGTATACATTGTGGATGCTACTGAATGAGAATAAAGGATTCCCAATTTATAAAAGTCCAAACATTTTCCTATAAGAAAAATGACTAGCCAAATATGATAAAAAAATTAGAACAAACGCCTAACATGAATGACGAGAGCCAGATTTTGTGTTGTATAAGGAGAATATTACTTAAATTGGGTCTATTTTCTTTTCCTTTACTGCTTTTGTTATTGGGCCCAGAAACCCACAGTTGTATTTATGAACTTGTTTCAGTCATTGAGTCTGTTTTAGTTTTTGGCCCATATAGTACACGTTTGTAATTGAACATTTCATTAGTTCAGTTTTCCTAAGACAGAAGCTAGAAGCTTCTTCTCTTTCTCGCTGCGTATTTCTCTAACCCTAGATAGTTTCTCGTAGATTTACTTCGAATCCAAACTTTATCATGGTATCAGAGCCCAAATCTAGTTAGATCGGGTGATTACAAATCGACTGATGTTACCCTCGAGCATTTTGCCGGAGTTTAGCTCTTCCGCGGCGATCTGTCTTCTTTTAAAATTTTCCGTTGATTTCTCCCGTGATAACGCTTAAATTCGCGTGTTTTTCTGGTGGAGATTGTTCGTGTTGTTGTTCAACCGAAGTGAATCGGAATTTCAGAGGAGTCTTTCTTAACCTAGGGTTTGGAGATTTCTGCACCGGTACGCTTCAGCTAGGGTTTGGACGTGGTTTCGTCTTCGTTCCTCTATAGAAAGCCGTTGTTCCTTTCGGTTGTGAAGGAAATTGGCAACCCTAATCACTTCCTTTTTTATTGCATGTGTAGATTTTCTATTGATTGTGTATAAAATGACAATAGTTCTCCATCTGAGTTGCCTACTGGTCGCTCTACGTCTTCTCGTTCTGTGTTTCATAAGGACGACTATACTCGCCCATGTCATCCTTTCTATATGCATCTATCTGATGTGTTGGGGTCTTCACTAGTTCATGTGCCTTTTGATGGCACTGGGTACGGTAGTTGGAGACGAACTATTCTTGTAGCCTTGTCCGTTAGAAATAAATTGGATTTCATAAATGGATCCTCAGTTAAACCTCCTGACAGTTCTCCCTTGGCGAGACAGTGGCAGAGGTGTAACGATTTAGTAGTCTCATGGTTAACCAACTCCTTGTCCAAAGACATTGCTCGTAGTGTTGAGTACTCTGAACTTGCCAAAGATATTTGGAGTGAGTTGGAGGAAAGATATGGTCAAGTAGATGTTGCAAGAGTATTTGAGCTTAAAAAGGAATTAGCTCACATCTCTCAAGGCTCTCTTGATATTGCCTCATATTTCAATAAGATAAAGCAATTATGGGATGAAATTGACGCTTTGTCAATTAGTAGAGTCAGGTCTTGTAGCAACTGTGGGTTTAAATTTGATTATCAGAAGGATGATGATGTCCAAAAGGTGTATCAGTTTTTGATGGGTCTCAATGATACATATGTGCAGACTAGGAGTAACATCTTTATGATTAAACCATTCCCTTATGTGAACGTTGTTTACAGTATTTTGTTGTCAGGTGAGAATCAGAGGCAGGTTTCTACCTATCCTCAATTTCTCCCTACATCTGCTTCTTTCAATGTTGGGGTGTCCAAACAAGGATTTCCTTCCAAAGTCAATTTTGATGCTCAGAAATCACCTGTGTGCAAGTATTGTAAGAAACCAGGTCATATTATTGATAAGTGTTACAAGCTACATGGGTATCCTCCTAATTTCAAATTTTACAAAGGGTCTGGAAGTAGAAAGACTGCAACTCATGTTGAAGTCAATTCTCCCTCCTGCTAGTTTGGCTTCTAATATGTGTTCTGAGTCTGTCAAATCTTCTGAATCTGGTACTATTTCAATGGTTCGTGGTCTCACACAAGATCAATTCTCCCAGCTGATGATGTTGCTAAAACAATCTCATGTTTAGGCTAATTCTTGTCACGACCCAAACCGATGGGCCGCGCTTTTGTTTACCGAGGGTTAGAATCCCTCCCTTTTTGCACTTTCACCTAATTCACTAATGTGAATGACCGCAACGGGCACCCGGTACCTTACTCAACCCAGTACCTACGTAACATATCTTTCGAATCATACTATCATAGGTAAATGAGCCAGAGAGGCTATCGTGAGATTCGTAGATTAAAACATGGGGAAATACTCGACATAGAACGACCCGGCCTAATATAAAAACTCACATATGTAACATACAGGCCTATAAGGCCAACATGATCATTTGTAAACTCAAAACATAGGCCGACAAGGCCATACAAGTATTCATATACATGATACCTATCTACAAGCCTCTAAGATTACATAAGTATCACAAAGGTCGGGACTGGCCCAGGCCATACCAATCAATACATGTCCTAATTATACAGACCAAATAAGCAACTCCGGAGCAAATGGAGCGCACGAACACCTTCCACTAAGCTGATAGCCTACTTGGAGGACTCTCAACCTGTCTATCGAAATCGCGGGCATGAAACGCAGCATCCCCGGGCAAAAGGGACGTCAGTACAAATAATGTACCGAGTATGTAAGGAATGAAAATCAGTAAACAATAGACATGAGAGAAACATGGAGTAAAAAACTCAACATGTATATCTGAATAGCTCTATGAATCATTTAATATTATAATGTCATGCATATGCGTATAAATGTCATACCATGTATGGGTATATGCATTCATAACATCATCAAGCCTCTGAGGGCATCCCATCATATCATCTCGGCCACCAGCTGATCAGGTGGTGGTGCGTATATATATATATATATATATATATATATATATATATATATATATATATACACACACGCGTATACAACGACATCTCATCACGGGTCAATGTAAATGAGTGCAATGCATGACAAGTACGTCAATAAAATCTTTCGGAGTGTCATAAGACCATTATTCCTTTTATTAATATCATGAATAAACTTAATCAACTTACGTATTTTCTGAGACCCATGAACAGATGATAGAATAACATGACACATGAGGAATCAAGAACATAAGCATCTCTAGTATTTCTATGAATAAAGTCATGTATGGAAATTGTGCTTTTGCTCGTTTCGTTTGTGTCGTATAGATCATGCCAAAAGAAAAAAGGGATAGCCTTAACATACCTGAGTCGATTCTCTTAATAATCCTTCTAACACACGGCAATTGCGACAAATCATGTAACGGCAAATCGAAGTAGGAAAATATCCGTATGATATTCTTGAGAAAAATTGTACCATGCTCTCTTAGAATCGCAAATCTCTCACTTTATCTTATCATGAAGTTTCAAACAAATTGCTTGAACTCCATCCGTAAGCTCATCACCAAACAAATTGAACTCCATCCGTAAGCTAAGAGAGCTTAGCATCACCTTAATGAGATAAGAAATCTCTTAAATTTGTTGGTTTTTTATGGGCCGCACTTTGAATACTTGGTGTTACTAAGCTTCACAACTTTGTGCCATATTGAAAGGTGACTTAACATCATCAACTTGGAGTTGTGGGCTGCCACGTTGGGGCTCTTTTGGCCTTATCCAAAATCTCAATTTCTTAGTTAATCTTCCCACCAAAATTATCAATTAACCCACTTATCCACATAATTAAGAATTATCTTAAACTACTTAAAATACTACTCACTTTTAACATACTTTGTACACTTTACTATCATGGCCATATGGTACCTTGTACGGCGCTAGTCCATAAATACCGGGTATTATAGCTTATACCGTATTTTGTTCCAAAATGTCAAACTTTGACGAAATTCATTTTCTTCGATTCGCTTACTCTCTCACCTTCACGAATTTACCTTCACTTGTTTTGAAAATAACATAAATGCTTATAACCTCAAATAGTCTCATTCCCGAGCTTACATCGAATAACTTACGGCGAAACTTTAACGTACGAAAATGCAGGATGTAACATCTCATTTCCGAGCTTATATCAATTTAATTATGGCGTATTTTTATGTACGAAAACATGGGGTGTAACATCATTCCCCACTTTGGAACATTCGCCCTCGAATGTTGACTGATGCACTTATTTTTTTTATAACCTATGGCTCTTGCGAATACTTTAGTACTCTCCTTGCCATCTAGGCAAGTGCTCTGTGAATAAATCCAAAGGCCAGTGCATTCCCCCTTTTAGGCCTCTTTCTCACACCATGACTTGTGGTCGTAATTCTTCCAATCTCGTAATTGTTGCTAGCTTCCATCATGCAGCCAGTACGACTCTGACCTTGTAAGTGTGCCTATGCGACTCTTCTCTCCTTTTTCCTCGAGCTTTTAGCCAATCTCTGGGATTCACTTTGTGTACATATACAGAGCTTCATAAGAGGTCCCTCTGAGCATCAATGGGTATACTGAAGTTCTTCGCTCGGTACTTTGTTGAACTTACGAATATTGCTATATCTTATTTCATCGGCCCGGTTATCTATCCGCATGATTTTACTGCATCTATGTAGGTCATATTGTACCATAACTCTAACTTCGATCTATCGTTACTGAGGTCTGCCACCAAACTCCATGTTACTTTTGTTTGTTATCCCATATGTATAAATCTAAGTACTTTAATGCTTACTCTTTACTGTTCATCTTAAGAATGACGACCTAATCTCATCTTATACTTTGTGACTTCTGTCTATCCGTTGTTGATTTACCTCATTATTGATCTACAATCTACCACTGATAACTTGAAACCTCTTACGTAATCACTAGGGCTCACGTCTCATCGGGGAACATCTGAAATGATTAGACTGATCCACCTGGGGCGATACCATGCTTTCATAACCGTATTTCACATGTGATTCATCTTACGTGGGAATTTTAATCCTGTACAATTCATGAAATCTCCCTTTTTTTCAAAACATAACTCAATCGAAGGCCCAAATGTCATCCTTTATCTACCACAATTGCACCCTTATTCTACTACCAGGACAGCATTCCATCTCTTCTAAATGCCATTAGTCTTTGACTCCTTTGAGTTCATTAAGGCTATACTGAGCTTTGTATAACTTAGAGAAACCATTAGCTCTTCTTGTTTTCATAGGCTTAATCCTGGGCACTTATCCATTCTCGTCACCTTCTCACTTGCCCTTTCTTATCCTTACTCCTGTCTTCCTAAAACCTTGTTGCTTTACCATACTTTAGCTTGCGACCTACACATATCTATATTTATTATTCACCACCTTCCTTCAACTTGCTTGAACCATAGATTTTCTTAAATTATTTTGGAACATCAAGCGAGACATCACACCATTTCTAACTCTTCTTTATTCTCTTAACCAGACCTCTCGATACGTAGAAACCATAAGTTGGAAGATATGCCACTGACGATGTCGCTATCATTCTTGGATACCAAATTCCCGCGCTTCTAGCTTTCTATCCGAAGTAAGGACTATTGACAACCTTCTGCATTTGAGTATCTCGTACGTTGTCCACCTTTACCTTACTTTTCTTAAAGTCTCACATCATATCTTCCATCTCTTTCTTAACCCCCCTTCCACTTAGGTATAATTCACATCCACAACTTGAAGCTCTTTTATAATACTTGCACCTCTGGTGCATACACAATCTGGTGGTAGCTGATCCGGGCCAACCCTGCACCACTATAAAGCGGCGAGAGCGGTTGATGCAGCTTTTACCCGAATAGGTCGGGATCGAATTTACAGGGAGCTAAATTTGGGAATTGGTTTCCTATCTAAACTAGCAATGTGTAATGCTCTTAATTACACTTCCAATCATAGTTGTTCTTTTGATTACTTCTATTTGTTTATAATATGAGATGCTAAATTTAACTAAGAATACTTGCTAAAGGGTTGTCTAATAGGTAACGAGGCACTAGGGAAGTGACTTCCCCCTAGGTGAATACTTGACGGGTTCCTAAGCTTAAAGCAAAGATGTTATGTTTGGGATGGCGATATAGCCATTTGCTCGACACTCCTCACTCTATACCTCTCGGTAGCTTGAGTGAATTTGCCCGAATTGACTTTCTCAAGACCAATTGGGTGTCGAAATTAAGCAAGCAATGTAGGATCAGGTCGGGTATTACTATCTCTAGATTTAACCCTTTAATTGGGGCTATCAATCTCTTGAGTACGCCCCAATTTCTTGTTGGACTGACTTCCTAGACTTAAGCTCTCTTTCTCAAGAAGAGCCCAGGTCACTTAGGCACAAATTAGTGTTTGCAACCACTAATCCAACAAACAAAGCACAAATCAGTCCAAATATCAACCACCCATAAACATCTAAGCATTAAAACATAAGTCCCATCAAATACCCACACTAGGGTTGAGCCACAACCCTAGCTAATGGGTTTAGCTACTCATAATTATGGAAGAAAACAAGAAATTAGATGAAGAATAACCCATAATATTTAATTAAAAACTAAGATAATGAAGATTCAGCGTAAATGTAGCTACAAATTACTCAAAATAGAACAAAAGAGTCGTTCACATGCTCTCCTCAAAGTCAGATTACCAAAGATGACCTAAAAATGTGAAAAGAAAGTATTTATACTAGGCCGAATTTTCTGGACAAAAATACCCCTGACGAGGTAATGCGGTCCGCACAAAATGCACCGCGGACCGCGCTGAGGCTTTTTGGCTTGATTCTGCATTCTCTGAATCTGGCCACCACGGGCCGCATAAAATGCACCGCGACCGCGGTGGCTTCAATGCAGTCCGCACAAAATGACTTGCGGACTGCGCTGGCTTCAATCTCCATTTTTCATAACTCTCTGAATCTCATCTCCGCGGACCACATAAAATGGTTTGCGGTCGCGGTGAGGCTATTGCGGTTCGCCCA